ATATGTACACGTAATCATTCACTCTTTTCTTCCTCTATCTCAAACCTCCTTCCTATCTCTCTCATCACTCATTATTTGCCCATTTTTCTCACTTCAAATTTCATATTGTAATCACCGTTTGACCTTGAAGTGGCACAAATAGTGTGCTTGCTGTTTTAGGTTTGTTTTGGGGGCATTGTGGTCCTTTTACCCTCAACCCTCTATCCCAAACACCCATCTTCCGTACTTAAAATCACCATTTTACCCTTCCATTTCCTTCCGTAAATTCCCTTCTGCATAGGGGTGTTTGTGGTGTAATTTGGTTCGAATTTTATTATTTTTTAAATCAATCCAATTTAATCGGTTAATAAAAATTTTAAACCAATTCAATCTACTATTATGTGGTAACCAAACCAATCCAATTTAAATCGGATCGATGTGGTTCAATCAGATTGATCAGTTTTTAATATTATTAAATATATAAGATAATGTAAAAATATTTTAACATCAAATAGAAAATATAATTATAAAATAAATTAACATCCAAATCAATAAAAACATAATAATAGGTAAAATTATAAATAAATTCTTATACTGCTTTATATTTGTAAAAATTGAAAAGCTCCAAAAATTATTCTTGGTTACATCACTAGAGGCACCAAAAGTAATAAAAAATAACTTCAAATTTCTAAGACAACGTAAATAATTCTTGAAGATTAAAATTCATTTTTTTTCCTAATACACTAATAATTTAACACATTTTCTAAATCCTATTAAAAGTGAATAACATTTAACATGAATATTACTAAAATTGATTAGAAGCATTCATAATCAAAATTTAAAACTTCTAAACCAAATATCCAAAAATAGTAGAATATTAAGACTAATTTTATTATATAGTTTTAACACTTCTAGAATTATACTTATTTAAAATTTAGTTAGGAGAACTATAAGATTATTTTAAGAATAAATTAGAAATTTAGGGTTCTAAAACTAAAGGCGCAAACCAATTATGAGATAATAGAATTGCAGTTGAATTAGAAATTTAATAATAACTTAGGGAATATGAAAATGTTTTATTTTTATTTTTTTAATTAAATTAATGGAGTTATAATCTTGTAAAATAAGAAAAAAAAATTTTAATACTACAAAAAATGTGTTATATTATTTAATTAAATTATTTTCTAATTAGATTTTATTTTGTAATCGAGCAGTTCGGACGGTTTGAAGGTAAGATCATGAACCAAACCAATTATATCGGTTTTAAAATTTTAAAATTCAAATCAATTCAATTTTATATTGGTTTGGATCGGCATTTAATTGAATTGGATCAGTTTAGGTTGGATCAATCGGATTAGATCGAATATGAACACCCCTACTCCTGCATTAGGTAGTGAGGGGCAAAATGGTTATTTAATTATTAAGCTATTCTTTCTTCTTTTCTTTGGCTGGCATTTAGGAGGTTGTGTTTCAAAGTCTGCCCTTTTCTGCTTTACACTGGTCCTTGCTCCCTTCACCTGTTACTCATCCACTCTTTTCTTCTGTTCTTTTCTCTACTGTTATGAAAAGAATATACTAGCCATATTTTTTTAATAGTTTACGATTCAAGGGAGAAAGATTTATCTAAAGTATTGATGGGGATTGAAACCTAATCAACTAATTGTAAGGATAGGTCCGAGGTGCCCACCTCGGACGTACTAAATAATTCTTCAACAATCGAAGTGAAAAGTAAACCCAGCTGCATAATAGTTATCGTGAACA